TTTTTGTTTTTTTGTTTTGTTTTTTTTTCAGTTTATTACAAAATGTGTGATCTAATCATCTTACTTATTTATTCAACTATATTTTAAGTGGGTATCCCTTTCAGCATTGCTCATATGAAGAGGCCCACTTAGACAAATCAACGACAAAACAGTATAAAAGTAAAGACAAAAGATCGATATAAAACACGAGATAAAAGCAGTAGGATCAGGCAAAAGGGGAAAGCGGAGAGAAGAGCTAATTCCGGTATTGAGGATGCGAGATTTGAGTTTGAGTTTGAATATTTGGAAAGAGGTGGTGTTTTTAATGGAAATGGAAAGACTATTGAGAATTGCTGGAGCTTGGTAGCTGAAGCTACTTTTAAAGATTTCGAGTCAGGGATGGGGTACTTGTAGTTGACCGCGTGTCGTGGCACGGTTGTCATGGAACGGAAAGGAGGTTCATTATGAGATTGTTTACCGTTAGACCACAGCCTATACGATATAGGTCTAGATCTAGATACTTTCTCTCAAACAACTGACTATATCGTGTATATTTCCTTTCAGAGTGTTTATGGCAGTACTCATCCTTGTGAGTGTGGCTTGGATACCCGTAGTACAAAATTCGCAAGGAGGTCAGCTCTTCATCTACATCCAAGAGATCAGTGCGTATCTGTCACCGCCGATCGCGGCGATCTTCTTACTTGCTATACTGTGGCACAGAATAACCGAACCAGTAAGTCGACTATTGTTTATTTTTATTTTTTATTTTATTTAATTTTTGTTAAAATTTCATTCAAATTTGGAATTAGAAATTGAGGCTAGGCCCATGGGGGCCCATGAGGACCCGTGACGGCCATAATACGGCGCCAGTAACTTTCACGAGAGCGATAGTCTAATTAAAATCAAACGTTGGCCGGACATTCAAACATTAACAATAATTAATAACATTTTCATTAAGAATTATAATAATAATAATTGAATAATGATTAAATTTATAATGAGAATAATGATCATTTCTATGATTCTTATAAAATAATATAATCTGAGCGTTTGGCCGATTGGTATATGGTTCTTTCCGCTTGCAGGGTCCGGGTTAGCGACCGAGTATTAAATTTGGGTCTTTTATAAACTTTTAGCGCCTCAAATTACCCTTTAAGGAGAGTTACTTTAATTCGGATGGCGCTGCACTGCGGCCAAAATTTCCACAGCGTATTACAAATAAAAATTATTATTATTATTATTATTATTATTATTATTATTATTATTATTATTATTATTATTATTTTAAAAATTAATGATAATAGGCTTAATGGTGCTAATAAAAATAATAAAAGTTTTTATGATTCTGTATTAATACTAATAAAATGAATAAAAACATTTTCAAGGTAATAATCTTATCTGTGCACTTAGAAAAATTAATAGTTTAGAGGCTTGAAATAATGTAAATATGCAATATAAAATCATCATCTTCTTTCAGGCTGCATTTTGGGCTTTGATGGTGAGCCTGTTTATCGGCTTGTTTCGCATGACATTGGACTTCATTTTTCCTGACAGTGAATGCGGCGGGGAGGACACCAGACCCGTATGGGTTCAGAATATGCTGTTCCACTACATGTACTTTGCTCTTTTACTGTTCTGGCTTACAGTATTGGTAGCTGTAGTTGTCAGTCTAAAGACAGAACCGATTCCGATGGAGAAGGTAATGACCGAGCAAATCAA